CCCTCATGGGGCGGAGAAACATAAAGGACGAAACAGCAGGCTTGTCCATCACAAGAAGAGACGTGGAAGGGGGCATGCCGGGCACTGTCCCCTCCTTGGCACAGGAGGAAAAAACTCAGAGAGGGAGATGGCTTTACTGTGGTTGCACAGCAAGTGGATGACAAAGTCAGGTTTTGAATCGTTGTTTCCTGTCTCCTGGGGACTCTGATTTCAAACTGCCTTGAATCTCAGAATCTGGCCCTTTTTCTAGTCTCCTCAGCTGGACTTCGAGCTCATGAAAGAGAGCTGAAGATCAAGTTCCGGAACCCCTCCAAGCTCCCCTGTAGTGCTCGCCGAGGCCGATTACCACCATTGTGATTGGCTATCCGGACTGGCTGGGACTCCAGGCGGGCCTGAGGCCAGAAGTGTATCTTTGGACAAAAAGCCTCTGGGAGATAGGCTAGCAGAGGTGCCAGGATCTCTGCAGAGTGGCCCGGAGCAGACCACCCAATCCAGGAACCCCCTTTAGGCTCTGGTGTTGGTTCTGATTCCAGAACACACTGGCAGGGTGACCTTGGCCAGGCCCCTTCCCTCTCTGAGCACCCAAGTCCTCATCTGCATGAAGGCTGGGGTGGTGGCTCTGTGTGGTTCTTTCAGTTCCAGGTTGTGGATGGACATCACCATGGGTAAGGGCAGCAAAGCCAGCCCTTCCACTATCCCCACCATGCAAGCCCCCTGCCCCGCCCCGTGCCCCCGGCGCCAGCTGGTCAGGCAGACCCTGGTGGTTGGAGTTGGTGCCTCTAAGGGTCTCGATTTCTGACTTCTGCAGCCTCACGAGCAATCACTGCCCATCTCAGGCCTGGCGGCCATCAGTTCCAGACAGGCCCCCAGCAAGGGTCTAGGAGATGCCCAGGTCCTCCCCTCATGTTCCAACGTGGCCTTACCTCCTCCAGCCAAGCACTGAGTTATCCTCAGGATTCTAATAAAGCTCATTTTCTGCCACCAAGTTTATAACACATCCCCACCTACTGGTCTTAAACATAACAAGGCTGCGTTGTGGTGTAGGGCTCCATGTGGCCAGGATGAAGATGGGTGTGTGTGCTTGCAGGGGGAGGGGGGGAGCACCACTCCTCACTCCCAGCAGTGACGGAGCATCCCAAAGGTCAGTGCTGACCCCGTTCTGTGGTCCCTCCTGCCTCTCCAAAGGAGCCCAGAGCTTGGGTCATCAGTGGGGTGGGGAGAGTGTGGACCCAACCCACCGGGAAAACTCGAGGTTGCCAGGTTGCATGTAAGGACACATGCATTTGAGGTCATGTAGTCAGAATGCCATGGGACACTACACTCATAACCTCTGGAGTGATGTTATAACATGTCACTTTAGATATGTGTACCCTTTATGTGTCCCTCAAGAGGGTGTGGTATGGCTCTGCCCCATTCCTTTGCTCTCTTCCTGGGGTCTCTGCCTAGCCCCTCCTTGTCCCGGCTTCTGCCCCACGCCCCAGAGCTCCCTTTCCAATTGTCACTGGGCAATTGAAACAACTCTCCATACAGAGTTGTCTTCCCAGCCCATGTATTTCTTCTGAGCACCTACTATGTGTCAAGCACTGGAGAATGGGGCAAAAATGAAGAATTTTAGAGCAGCACCTGCTCTAAATGCAAGGATGTGGAGACCAGGACGGGTGCACACATAGATATGCCCATGCCCCCCCCCCCACGCGCGCACACGCACGCACACTGTGGCCCCGGAGGAGTGCTGGGAAGGCGGCACGAAGAGCTGAGGCTGCACTGGAAAGAGCACTCGCCTCTGTTACAGGGTGGGGGCCGCTGGTGGGAAGCCAAGGGGGAAGAGAGGCAGCCTCCCTGGAGGAGATGAGGTTGGAATTGGGTTTCGATGTGTGGGTAAGGACTTCTGGAGGCTGGTATTCCAGAGGGAGGAGCTGCTGGGCACAAAAGCAGAGAGGCAGGGAGGTGAGTAGGGTGATACCTCCTAAGATGCATGGAGGATGCCGGGCAGGCAGTGCCTGCCCCTGAGGTGAAGATGTGGAACGAGACAAGATCATATAGGGCCTTTGATTCTGGGGGCCAAAGAGGGGATCCTTGATCCTATAGGCTGCAATGAAGGTTACTGAGTAGGAGGCTGACATTATCAGCTCTACCACAGACTTCACCAGCACCCTACCCCCCTAAACTCCCATTCAAACTAAAAATGGAGCAGAAAGCCTCCCCAAAGGCCAGATGCGGGAAAGTGGCCTTCTCAGATGTTCTCTGGCAGAAACCTGGAGACCAAGAGCGGAGTCTGGGCTGCCACCCCACAGGCTGAGCTGGGCCCTGAAAGATAGTGGGGCTCCGTTCACACATGGTATCTGCCCAGCGGTCCTGGCAGAAAGTGAGAAAGGAGAGGGAGGGGAGGCCGCACTGCTTGTGGAAGATGGGGAACATGAGGGAGACAGCCCAAGGTCACCCTGCTCGATGGCGCCAGAGTCAGACAGCAACCCAGGCTATTTGGCTCCTAGTCTGGCTGTGTGGTCAGAAGTCTGTGGGCTCAGTAGCCTGCCAGGCACGAAAACCTGCAACTCCCCCCTCCCGAACCCCAGCATCTTTGAAAAGCCCAGAGATCCCAACCAAGAGCGAGCTTGAAGTGAGATGAAGTCCACGTACCCTTTTCTTGATAGAGGAACGGTTTGGGTGGGTGGGTGTCAGGCAGCCTTGAAGGAAGAAGGTCCAGGGAAGATGGGTTTTTTGGGGGGGTGGATCTTCTGTGATTCTGGCCTTATCCATCTTTGGGGGGTGTTTCTCTAAGCTTTGAGCATCTGCTGGCACCCTTCCTCGAGGAAGGGGAGGTTGAGGCACGGGATGGGGACTCAGGGAAGGAGCTCAGAAAGGGAGCCAGATAATCAGGAAGGGAAAATGCCTGCTCAGTGGGGGGGGGGAGCTCCCACCCCACCTCTGCCAACAGCTTCTTTCAGCTCGCCAGCCAGCCAGCCAGCCCTGGGTCCTGTGTGTACTGGCACCGGGCTAAGCACTGGTTGTGCAGAGGGACAGTGGAGAATAAGCCCACGGGTTGGCCTCCACCACTCCAGGACCAACCGCACAGGGAAGACAGGGACATCTAAGGAGAAAACGAAGCAGATTGCTAATGCTCCAGAGAAGCAGCACCAGGAGGGCAAGGCCCTACTGGGGCTGGATCTTAGGAAGCAGGCAGGATTCTGGCACCTGAGGAAAGAGAAAGGGTCTTTAATGCCAGGCTTGAGGGGTCGGGAAGCTGGGCAGTGAGAACCTAATAAGAGCGTCTGAGCTGCCCCCAGGTGGGGCCACGGCTGGGTTTTAGAAAGGGAACTCAGGCGACAAGACACAAGGCGCAGAGTGGGGCAGAACGATGCCTAGACCCAGGCCTGAGCTCAGTTTCCTCCTAGGCGCTCAGACCCCCTGCTCACCAGGGCCGGGTCCCCAGCGCAGCCCCTACAGCTCCAGCGCGCAGACCCGCAGAGCCCACCGCCCCACCCCCTCCCCGCCCTCAGTCTTGCACACCGAGCAGAGATTTCTGGTTCCCAGCTGCATTCCCCCTGCCCCCACCCCCTCCCGCTGCCCTGCCCATTCTTCTGATAAAGAACTGAGCCTGGCTGTGTCTGGTGAACTGAACTCCAAACAGCTCTCATCCCAGGGTCACCCCCAGCCGGGAAGAACCAATCCACCCTGGAGGGAGGTCAGCCTGTTCCCCACCCTCTCCCAAACCCAGGACCCTAGATTCCTGGAGCCGATTCCTTTCCTTATTCTTCCAACCTTGAGAAGGCGCCTTGGTCGGGATGAGAGGCAGCTAGTTAAGAGGCCGTGGGCGCGCTCAGGGAGCTTGGGCAGGCTCCTCAGGACTGGGCAGATGCGGGCAAAAGCTGAGCACGACATATCGAGGGTCTTGCATCAACACGGAGAGCCTACTGGTCTCTCCATCTAAGTCCCTCTCCAGCCTGTCCAGGCTGGGTGCACCCCTCAGCAGGGGGCAACAAAGCTCCCCCACCCCCACCCCCGTTGGGGAAATGTGTCCCAGGTCTTCCGGCTTCACATCGGGAGGGGGCAGAGGGCCTCTCTTTTCCATCCTCCTCCTCCGCCCCAGCTTTCTCCCTCCCCACTCGGTCAGCGCCCCTCGCCTCCTGGAGCGCCTCCAGCTTGCAGAAGGCCCGCTGCAGCCTCCTCCCGTCGGATCGGAGTTTCCACTCTGGGGGGCTGTTCAGAGACCCTCTGTCCCCTACCCGTACCCCTGCTGTCCCACTGCCAGAGCGCACCAACCCCAGCCCCTCCCTCTCTCACCCCCTTTACCGCGGAGCCCCGGGCGAGCCTAGGGAGCAGACGCAACAGATTGCAGAACGCGAGAGCGCGGAGCCCGCTCCCTCCGCGCGCCGCCCGCCGCCCGCCGCCCCGGCCTGCGCCCGTGGCCCAGACCCCCGCCCTCCGGGCTCGGCTAAGCCGGCCATTTAGATGCAGCTCACAGGACGGCGGGCGGCGAGCGGCGAGGAGCCGCGGCTCCCCGGGCCCCCGTCAGTCCACTTCCCTTCCCGAGGACCGCCGCAGGAAGCGAGGCGGCGGGCGGCGCGGCCCCGCACCGGCCTGCGCACCAGGGGCGAAGACACGATCCCCGCGGACGCAGCCGGCCCCCAGCCCCGCCGGCTGCGGGGGTGCGAGTGGAAGGAGGGGCGGCCCGGACACGATCTAGCGGATCCCTTGGATCCCCACAGATTTCCGTGGGCGGACACGCCCCCAGACTCTCGGGTTTGTACCCTTCTTCTGGAGTGCCCCCCCCCGCCCTTTTCTGGGGCCGGGTTCGGTCCCCAGGGCGGGGCTCGCAGCCTCCGCTCCCGCCAAAGGGCTGGGGGAGCTGGAGGTAACTCGAGCTGCCGCCCGAGATGCCCGGCTGGGAGCGGCGGCTGCGAGTCCGGGGGGTGGGTGCTCGTCTTTCTCCAGTCTCCTCTGTGCCCCCTCCAGCGGCGCCCGCCGCATCTTCACTCCCGAGTCCGCGCCGCGACACTTACCGTGGGCGAGCAGCGCCGAGAGGCAGAGCAGGGCGGCGCCGCCGCGGCCCGACATCCTTGGGGCCATGGCCGAGGCGGGAGTGGGAAGCGGCCGAGGGGGCAACAGTCGTCGACGACTTGGCCCCAGGCTGGGCTCGGTCACATCCAACTCAGGGTGGCCGCGGCGCCCGAATGTCTCTGCTGAAGCTCTGGGGGCCAGGGAGTGCAATTCGGGGACACTTTGAGGGGAGGGGGCGTCCCAGGCGCGGCCGGCTACACCCTCGGAGCTGGTAGGGGCGCAGCTCCGGGCGGGAGGAGCCTCCACCTCCCGGGGCTGGTGCCCCCTGCAGGATCTGTGCGGCGAGGGGGGAGCCGCACGTGCGGTCCCGGAGCCCAGTGGCCACCGGCGTCTCGGGGACTGCCTAGAGCCAAGTGCTGGATCCCCCAGCCCCGAGGCCCAGCTCGAATCCGAACTCGCTCGAGGGTGCAGATTTCCGACGCAAGCCCCAGTTTCTTCGGTTTCGGTAGTAACCTCACATAGATAGCGCCGCTTCCTTCCTCCAAGCGCCCTGCAGCAGCCCCAGCATAAAAATCCCAGGTTAGGTGCAAATGAATGATTTCTTTCGCAAAGAAAGAGAAAATCCAGGCAACTTTAATCCATCTGGAGCAGGAAAAGTTTCCGTGCAGTGCTGAGACCGGCGACGCGGGTCGCCACCACCCTAGGCGACGCCGGGACAAAATGCCCGAGGCGGGCGGCCAGCGGCTCGTCCCCTCGCAGAGCTCGCTGCTCGGCTCCAGCGCGCTCTCTCCAGTCTCAACCAGGGCCCGGGCTTCACGCAGGCTGGCTCAGCGCCGCCTGCCCGGGCAGCGGCTCCGCGGCTGGGGCGAGGGTGGTGCGGCCGGAACGGGCTGCCCCATGGAGACCCGGCTTGGGGAAGCGGGGGAGCGGGACAGCCGGCTAATGCGCCGGACCCGCGCCCTCTTTGCCCGGGGCGCCGACTCCAGCCTCCCGGCCGTCAGCCGTAATACGATGGAGGCGGCTCCGGGCCGTCCCCCTCTCCTCCCAGGTCTCGCTGTCTCAGCAGACGGGCGCGCAGCTCCGCCTCGCTCGTCGCCTTCCCTAGGGGGACCTGCACAAACCTTGAACTTTTCCGGGGTTCAGGGTCTCCGACGTCTCCGTCTCCCCGCCGCCCGCGGCCTGCCCCCGGACGCCCGCTCGCCCGCTGTCTTGGTGCAGCTGGGCATCGACTCCCTCTCTCTCGGAGTCAGTTTGGGCGAGCGGAGCGCCGCGCCAGCCCGGGCTGCGGGCGGCGAGACCCGGGCGCCACGCCAGGGGCCGGGGCACCCGGCGCCCGCGCAGCCCGCGGCCAGGAAGACGGCAGCTGGTGTCTAGGGGGCCGAGCGGAGAGGAGGTGCCGGCAGGGGGGCCGGCTCCCCATGGACGTGTGTGGGGGGAGAAGAATCAAGGAGCAAAAAGCGAGAGGAGGTGGGGGAGAGCCACAGTTGCACGAAGCCGGCGCCGCCGCCGCCGCCGCTGCCTCCTCGGCGCTCGCGCCGGCTGCTCCGCCGTAAATGACTCGAGAGAGACACACACACTCGCGCCCGCCCTCCTCCCCCGTCCGGGATTTCAGCGCCCACCCCGGCAGGAGCGGGCGCCGAGCCTGGCGCGCCCGCTCCCTCCCCCTCCCCTCCCCTCCCCTCCCAGATTCCCCGTGGTCACGTGGGCCCGAAGCTCGCGGCCCACGACTCGCGCGCCTCGGAGACCCCCCCCACACCGCTCCCCCCCTTCCCGGGTCCACGTGTCCATTCCGCATTCCCAGCCTGGGGGCGCGCGCGGCTCCTTAATGAGACTCGGGCCGCGGCGGACCTCGCGATTCCGTTCGCCTCTCTTTTATGTTTTATTTTTCCTCCCCACTGTAGGCTAGCGCTGGGGCCCGAGTGGGGCCGGCCGGCTGCGGTGGCTGCATTTCCCCCGGGGTAGACGCCACCGCAGCCACCGATGTCCCTTTTGAAAGGAAGCACGCTCCTCGCCAGGAGCCCGCCGTGCTTTACAGCCGCTCTGCGGGAGGCGCGGGGAGGGGGCACCCTACCCCCCACCCCCAGAGTCTGTGCGGGGCTCTCGGGGCCACTGGGTGGGAACCGACCGAGCTGCTGCGCCCAGCCCCTCCGCCGCGCGGGAGCTCGCCGGCTCAGCTCCGTTTGGGATGGATCCGGGGCGCAGCTGGGGAAAAACCCGTCCGCTGCTGGGGGTGGGGGGGTGGGCGGAGAGGAGGGGACGTGCCTTCCTACAGGTTGTTTTGCAAGCCTTTAAAGGGACCTGGGGTGGGGGTGGGGAACTGCCCCTCCTGCACACTCACCCAGGCACCTGGTGACGAGGGGGAGGGGAGGCTGGGGTGGCGTCTTTCCCGCGGTCAGGCCGGTTCCATTAGAGCGCAACCCAGATCAGACCCGACAAGTCAACCGTCAACCGTCAGCCTGGCGTTCGATCAATGGCAATGATTTTATAGCATCCTTGGGTATCATGCCCCAACCCCCAGGGGCCGCATCTCAATCCCACTCGACTCGGGACGGACAGGGTCTTCAATCCTATGGACATAGCTCTTATGGGCCGGGGTGGGGGGCGGCACGGTGGCTCTGGATCTTGAGGGTCACTCCCTCATACTTCTGCTCTCAACCTGTCTGAGAGTGTGAGGTGAGGTAGGTCGGAACAAGGCCAGCTGGGGTGCTCAGTCTCTGCCCCCCATGTACCTGACTTTGCCCGAGACTTCTTGACCCTGTGAGTTTCCTTTTCATCCAGGAAAGTGACATCTTCTTTTTGGAAAATAGGCTTGGAGCCTCCCTCCTCCCTGGCTTGCTGGCTGTTGTGCCTCAGAACTGGGGCCTGCGGAGAGCCGCTGGTGCCCCTCCCCCACGCCCACATCTGTCTGGAGCTCTGAGGTGCAGCTAGGGAGGGCTGGTCCGGCTCTGGGAGGCCCTCGGGATGGAAGGTGCTGGAGTCATCAGGGAAGATGATTCTCATTAGGCCCCTAATGCCTGATGGCAATTAATGTCACCCAAGGGCTTATTAACCATCCCACTGAGAGGCAAGCCAGCAATCAGGCTCCATGTGCGGGAGAAAGGGGGAAAGAAGCCATCTTCAGAGATGGGGGCTCCAGGAAGAGGAGGAAGGAAGCCGGAAGGTCTTCCACTCCTTCCCACCTCCCCAGCTGGAAGGGGCACAGGGCCTGTAAAGAGTAAGTCTAGGGGAGGGACACAATTGCTTTTCTGAGCTGAGGACACACTGCCCCCAGTGAGGTGGTCCAAGCTGTCTTCCACAGCTGTTTGCGGCTGACACGGGTCAGCAGTTTCAGCCCATTCTCCTGCACTTCTCTGGAAACTGAACCCTGTGTTCTGGTTCTTCTCTCTACCCCCTCCCCCCCAGCTCTTAGGTGAAGGGAAGATAAGCCTCCCTTCACCCACTCCGTTTGCCCTCCCCTCCTTGGAATATCTCCAACATCACAGGACCACCAGCCCTGCTCATGACAGAGAGCAAGGTAGATCTAGCCGGTCCTCATGGAATTTACATTCTAGAGGGGAAGACAGACATTAAGCTTACGGATTGATCACCACTGTTAGAAGTTACAGGGTAGCATGCATTTTTGCTCTTATGGCAGAGACTGAGGCCCAGGGTCAGGAAGGGGGGGCGGCCTGCTATGTCATTTGAGTCCCAGGTTTTTCTGGTACCCCCTCGGTGGATCTACCCTTCACGGACCAGGAGCCTCCTGCCCGGGCAGCCGGTCGGATTACCCTCTGTTGCTCCAAATGGCAATGTATCCTCCCTGACCTAGGGAAGCAGAGGGCTGCTGACAGCCCACCCGGGGCATAAAATGCCCAAATTACTGCAACCCCTGTGCCCCATGGGCCTGTTACTCTTGGCCCTAGTCCTACCCTAGTCCTTCTTCTAGGACTCAGGGAGAAAGCGGTTGACAATGAGGTAGACAGCCTGCTGACCCAACTATTCCAGTCCCATGTGTCATTTACCTGGAAAGGGGGCTCATGGCTACCTGCAGTCCTTTTCTACCAGCCCCGCAGCCTGCCCTGACCTCCCCTGTGAAGTCTACTCGTGGAGCCCAACTGGAACCCGGGTAGGAGGTCAGAGGAGCAAACCCAGGGGGAGCCCAGCCTGGAGGAAGGGTCTGGCGTATGTGAACTCTTCTGCCCCAAACCTTATTCATCCTGGTGGTGGCATCTCCTTTCCACTGTTCCCATTTTGTTCGGGGCCAAGTATCTTTCCAGCCAGAGGACTGGCAATGGTCGGGGTTTTCCTAGATCCCCAGCTCCTGGGTGGTGCATGGAACAGCCCCACTCTCTGGCCAGGCAGCCAAACAGCAAGTGGAGGCGGGGGGGGGGGGGGGGGGGGGCGGGGAGCAGTATCTGTGTCAGGTCCCTGTGCCCGCATGGGTGTTTCTGAAGGGCCCAGGCTGAAACTGGCACCCACTTCCCCCACTGCTGGACCTGCCACCATGATGGACCTGTGTTTCAGGATGCCTGCCAATAGGGGAGGATAGGACAGGCCAGTGTGGGACTTCACCAAGGGGAGCTCACCATTTGTGGGGAGTTCCCGGGATTCCCCTAGAATCCTAGTCTGGCCCTGCTGGCGAGGGGCTCAGTGATGTCCTAATCTAGACCTCTCGTTTTCCAGCTGCAAAACTAGAGGTCATTCAATTCATTCATTTTCTTAAATTAATTCATTAATTCAGTAATTTTATTAAATACTTTGACCTTTTTCGTTGAGCTCTAATTCTGTGTGAAGCATTGTGCTAGGTCCGGGAACACAGAGGTTGGATAAGACAGATGAGATCCAGATGGGGAAGTTCAAGAGCTTAGTTCTACAAACCCATATTGAGTGCCTGGTCACATTAATAGCTAACATTTACTGAATGTTTTTGATATGCCAGGCATCGTGCTGGGCATTTTGCATGCATTATCTGGATGCTCACCACAACCCTGTTCAGTAGATACTGTTCTTATTGCTATTTTCCGGAGGAGGAACCTGAGGCTCAGAGAAGGTAAGTGTCTTGCCTAGGCTCACACAGCTAGAGAGTAGTTGAGCCCCAGCTCGGTAACCCGTGTAACCACTTTTACTGTGAGATGTTAAGTTCTCATGCTTCCATATGTCAAAGCTTTTGCCTCTGGCTGGAGAAGCTCATGGTCAATGGAGGCACCAGACACAAACAGGCCATTCAGTGCTGGGAGGGTAGTGCTGGGAGGGGCAGTGCTGTGGAGGCCAGCCCAGGGGCTCTGGGGGCCCAGGAGCCTCTGATGCTTGGGTAGTGTTCTCTCCACAGCACCATGCTACGACTAATTCCCCAGCGTGAATCCTCTGCCCTAGTCAGGCCAGGCCAGCCAGCACCCTCACCAGACATGTCCCT